CTGGCAACTGTTCTAAAGTTTCGGGATATTATCTATACGATGTTTTTAAATTAGATAGAACGGAGGACCCTTAATATTCTTTATAAACAGAAAAATATTTATTCCACAAACTACCCGATAACTCGCAGCTACAAAAGGCCAGTCGAAGTATTGGCTATCGTATGTTATCTTTATTTTCAAATATTATTTTTACGAAGCAATAAATTATACATATAGACCAACTTCTCTCGACTATTATCACGTACTGTACATGTATATAATATCAAGTACATACATGTATATCGTATTTACGCTAATAGTTGCAATGACATGAAAAATTTTAAATTTGTAATAATTCTTCTATGTAAAAAAAAAACCTTCAAATTCTGGCTTAAAAAATGGAATTTCACCAATTACACGGTTAAAAGTTGCTCTTTAACAAAAAGAATCGAGCTACATGTATGTTATAAAAAATGATCTACACATAGCCAAGGTAAAGACTCAAAGCGAATATTAAAGCGCTATAATTCGCCAAATAAAATTGACGGTTTGCATTTGAATCCTAAATTAAAAAATTTTAGAAACTTTCAAAACCTGAAAAAAACGACATAATGAAGTTTATAAATTTACCTTTGCCTGAGGTTCACCGTCAAGAAACTCCCAACTTATACTAATCCGTCCAGTACTCTGATTTGACAACTTATTAAACACCACCGGATACAAATCCAAATCGCCAGACTTACATTCTGGGCACAAGTCAACAATAGTTGCATCAACACTTTTAGTCGGGCTTTTCTCATCATTCATGTGATAAATCCTGACTTTCTTACCGCATGCCAAACTAGGGGGCGCGCTATTGTTATGTTTTTCTGGCGCATATTTAAGGTAATCTGGTTTATTGAGTGCAACAATGTAATCATCATAGTGGTTATAGAGCTTACTGTTGCATGAGACTTGGCCTGCTATTTGGACGTTGGCAGTCATTTTGTACCAGGTGCCATCGCCTTTGTATGTTCCGTTGCCGGGGAGTCCTTGTGCGGTGTCAGGTTTTGCAGAGCTTTGTACCGAAGTGACGTTCTGTATTAGTGTTGTGTTTTGTATCGTTAGAGTGTTATTGGTGTTGTTTAACGTGTCATTATTCTTTAGCACTGTTGAATTTTGCTGTAAATTCGTATTTTGTATTGTTGGCGTTGAATTATTATTGTTGTTGTTTTGACTATTATTATTACATGTATTATTATTATTGCATGTATTATCGAGAGCAATTGCTGATTCGAAGAAAAAGCTAGTAACTATCAATAATATGTTAATATTTAGCTTCATTATCGATATACTTTTGATCTAATTTGAAATTAGTGCTTGAATTTGTACTTTTGTCAAATAATACTTTGGCAAATATAAACTTCAACACCAGGTCAAAGACTAACAACGCTCAGCGTTATTTTTTTAAAAATAATGAATGAAAATAAACACAGAAAACTAAAGATTAAAAAATGCAAAGTCAAAACAATAAAAAATACAAACTGGCAGTATTTATTTATTCATTTTGTTTGAATTCTTGAATTATACATGTATTAAATTTTATTGTTATTGTTAATGAATGCATATAACAAAAGATTACGATGATAAGATCACATCAAACCGCGCGTTTTTTAAATTGTTTTACTAAAATGTTCAAATTGAATATTAGAATAGCCACGAGAATAAAAGTGAAATTTCATGGTGCATTGGTCGCGGGCATTTTTATCTGATACTTTTTTTGTTTGCATACATGTATAATATTGTCGTTATAATAGAATAATATTATTATGTGACTGGTGGTGAGCCCAAAAATCTTTGAAGAACGTCTCTTCTTACATTCTCTTTGTGCGAAAACTCTTACATGTGTTACCCAATCCCGTCCGGCCGTCTGGTGCATATACATCCTACATGTACATGTGCATACATACGTACGCACAAACATAAAATCAAAGATCGAATGTTGTGTTTCGTGATTTTATTGTTGTTATTTTTGGAGAATTCGAAAAAGGTTACTGCCACATGAACATGTGCCTCTATTATTTTCTTAAAATGGAATTCTAAAATGTAATCGCTTAGATCGAGGTTTGAGAAACTTAAAACTCTGCGAGTTTTTATATTTCTTTATGCTATGCATACATATCACCGAATAATTAATTGATTTTGAAATTTTATGAAATGTAACGTGTAATAGATGTTTATAAATCAGAAATAAAACGTTCTGCTCTATCATATAAACTCTTGCAATATGATAAAGTTTCATTAATATACGTTCTCGAGTCACAAAAGTATCAAAGAAATAATAAAGCTGCTTCATTAACTGTTTGACCTTTCCCAGGTTCTCGGTCACAAAGAACTTTAATCTTCAAATATCGAACCTTTATAGAACTGTTTGTTGCATTCTAAACTTTCGATTTTGTCGCATTCTATTAATTGATCTATAAAATTTTTTTTGCTATGTTTTTCATATAATTCATCGAATTGAAGTCACAAATCATCTTCACATTAATATATTTATTTATAAATATAAGAAATACCATTTTTAGATATTAGCGTTGGCTAATGATAACTGTGGAAATTAAATATAATCGTAATTGGGTATATAATATTATTAATCTGCTATATAGAACGAAAATAATAAAAAAATTAAAAGTTGATTATCAATATAGCATCCATAATTTAAAATAACATCTTGTAAAACTGGAAAATCTAATATTTTGTGAATACCTTTAGTACAAAATTCATCATCAAGATTAATTTATAGATTTCTTTGACGTAAGGCTTATTCATGATACTATGAATAGGTCAAAGAAAATTCATAAATGAATCAATGTTAAACAATTTGCATC